GAAGAAAAACACTACGTTCTCTCTGCATTGCCAAGACTAAGAAAAACGCTATGCTCTCTCTGCATTGCCAAGACTGAGTAGAAAAACTATGTCCTCTCTGTGTTGCCAAGACTAAGAAAAACACTATACTCTCTCTGCATTGCCAAGACTAAGAAAAACACTATGTTCTCTCTGCATTGCCAGGACTGAGAAAAGTTTTTTTTTTCTGACACACTTCTCCTGGACACTTTGCACCTAGTGGTGTTCTACACAGTGTTCAGTGTTTTTCGTACCGTTCCTCCCAGTAATGTCTAGAAAAAAAATAACACTGTGGTGTACAGTATGTATGAAAACAACTAAGTTTGACTTTTCCTCTTTATATGTCCAATCTGTTAATTAAAAAAAAAAAAAGAAACAAAAGTAAATTAGATTAATTTTAGCGATCTTGGTTAAATATATCATGTTAAGACTTACTAATTGGAGATGAACACAAAGTACCTTTCAATAGGTACTTACCATGTTCCATTTAAATCAGAAGTCAGAACTTGGATTTGGGGAGGAACGTCACGCCCCATTTAACAGTTTTCCAGTTGTAAACCAGAAAATCGGTAGGATTTGCTAATTGTTGTGTTCAGTGACCAGTAATACAAGCTAAAAATAACATTTCTCTCTACTCTTTGCATGAAACACAGAATATGGTGTTAAAGGATTTTGTCCACAATTGATTTCCACCCATCCATCCATCATCTTAACCCAGTTGTTCCTTTCTGGGGTCGCGGGGTTGACTGAAATGGAAATGAACATTAACATCACTTTTAGCGTTGGGCAGCCATATTGGATTTTGAGGTCCAAGCCAATGAGAACAATTAAACTTTACAAATTGTAATTCTGACTTTTGGGTTGGGTTCCAGTTAATTTCCCCCAACTCTGAACCTCTGAGTACAAATGGAAAACCCCACTAGTCCAAATTTCACAGGTGGATTAAAGATTTAATCCTGATACTGATGCTATAAAGTTAAATAAGAACCAACTAAATTATAATTATTCCTCTATAATTCTTTATAACTGAGTCATAAAACCTAAAATAATGTTAGTCCAACCAACTTTTGGATATTTGATATAAAATAACGACTTAATTAAATTCCTTGTTTTTGGGACACAAACATGATCGATGTACCGGTGACAGTGAATGGGTTTCTGTCACTGTCTGCACTTGTCACCAACTCGTGTTCTGCATCTTTGTTAACAGAGTTGTCGCCAAAATAAGTCTCCTCAGTTTCAAGAACTCATTTCTTTCTGTGACGTGGTTCTCAACCAGCCCCACTTATCAAATGCCACTCTACCAAAAACACAGGTCTGTCAGAATCCTCTCAAACAAGAAGTTTGAGTTCTTTTATTACAACTACAAGAGCTCCGTTCTTTAAGACAGTGGCTTGTGCGGTTTTTCTCTGCAAACATGAATGCATAGGATACAAATCAGTACAGTAACACTACAGTATGTGAAGCTATAAGAAAAAGAAATATCACAAAAACCATAAATCAAATTAAAAGTCAGTCATTGGCACTGGGGTTGGAGTGGAACAGTGATAAAGAAACAAGCAGAAAAGCATCAGGGGTTAAATAACTAGTCAGACGCTTAAAGATTTTGATTTTGCTGCCTGTTTTTATGCAACCGACAGCTTTAAAGACAACTAAAAACAGGCGTGGGAACGAACCCTAACACATTCTGTACACAACACTGAAGTCCTTAGCAAATTTCAAGAGAAAAGTAGCATTGCTCTCTTTAAAGGTAAGAGCTGCTGTGATTGACTCGACGTGTGTGCTAGCGCCCGTCTTTGCGTCGCACACAATCACTCACAGTTGTGACAAAATTTTGGGGTAAACACAAACTCCGCTAAGGCTTAACTGCGGGGAGAAAAGATACACAGTGTTCAAAAGAGCGGTTATTAAAGTTTAGTTTCAACAGTCTGCTAGCTTGTTTTTGTGTTGGTATACAACGGGAATGGCATAGTCCGGTAATGAGCCGCTGAGTGCATTAGAGATCCTTGCCATGTTTATGTACACTTTGTTAAAGAACACCATTAATTATCACTTACGCTTGGATTTTTTTTCTTTCTCGAAAGGATTATCTTTAAATACACGTCAGTGTTGTTTTGTTCGATTAAATTGACAAAAAGTACGAAAAAAATAAAACAGAAGAATTTAGTCTTTTTTTTTATATCACATAACATTAACAATCAATATACTCAAAATTTACTTATGTATTTATGTAGCTGAATTTCCCTTGGCTCACAAAGAGACACTAAATGTGGTAGAATTTAGATGAAATTATTTAGACAGTAAAATTGCACGTACGGTAAAAACCGTACTGCTTATAGCTCAATAGAGCATAACGTGTACGGTATATTCCATATTTTCTTGTAGTATATTTATTTTTATCTCTAACCAGCTCCTCTAAAGGATGATCACGATAACTGGTCCCTACAATGAAAAGGAAACCTGTGGACAAGAGTCCTTCAAAACAGAAAAATAAATGATATATTTTCCAAACTCTAAAAACGTATGCAGTGGCTATGAGCTAAAGGCAAATATTGGCTTGTTCTATGAAAATCAGCTTTAAATATAAATCTCTTGAATATTAGACCATTTCTTTGCTCTTGAATTGTATCACAGTAAAGGGAATGCATATAGAGCTGCGGAGGAGCCGACACCGTCCTGTTGTTGACGCTTGTTATTAAAATTTAGTTTCCTATGCAGCAGTCTCAAAGTACTGTGTAACTTGATCAACTTAATGATAATAGAATGAATAGTTACACATTTTGGGAGCCACACAGTTGTGCTGTGAGGAACATTTAAATGCGGAAGGTGATGCCTCTCTGCTGCTATAGCTAGCAAGTGATAGATTAGCTTAGCTTAGCTTAGCATAACAACAAAAACAGTATTAAAAAGCTCCACTCTTTCTCCACTAAGTCTTGCACCAGTGCTAATTCTCTGCTAGTAAGCAGAAGATCCACAGAATCAACTCTATTCTTGATATCGCAAACACGCCGCACTTTTAAGCAACACAGTTAACGCTAAAACAAGCACAAACATGAACCAAGGTGCAAGACTTAATTGAACTTCACTCAATGTTTGGGAATTTTTCTCGAGTCACTTCAAGTATTTAAGTTGTAGTTTATGCTCAGATAGTAGTAAATGATTTTCCGACCATTTTATTTGACGTTTGGTTATTTTGCACAGAGATAATTCTCAAACCAGACATTTTAGGTGCTAATGAATTGTTAGCCACAGTTCAGTATCTCTGCAATAATATGTGCCGGTAGGTAAGCTAGTGACTTCAGTGGTATTGTTTAGGCTTTTTTGTTTGTTTGTTGAGTTTTCCAAAACCCTTTGCCGTTTCATTTAGTTTTGCATGGAGGCAGGATTTGCCATTTCTGCTTCCTCGTGGTTGGATGTGATCTTAACTAACAACCAAGAACGACACGCACACGCAGAACATCACACATTTCACCCATTCTGAACTGACTCACTCAGCATCTCAATCAGGATCAACTTTAGCTCCTTCATCCCACACATACTTTGTTGGTCCGTCTTCCATGATTTTCTTGTAAAGTCTTTTATTTTTGCAGCTTGCCATCCCTAAATCATCTGGGCAGGAGGCTGCGTCGCTACAATCTCATTGGTTGCTTTGTAGGTGGCAGCCTGCAAGGCTCTGTGCGGCAGCATGGGGTTCCTGGGAGTCAGAGGTGCAGGATGATGGGGATTGGTGTATGCGTGTAGAAGGGATGTGGACGAGGCTGAGGTGGAGGAGAAATGGTTGGCTGGTTGATTTAAGGGCCAGGAGTGGAGACGTTAAGGTGCAAAGAGCAGGCCAGCAGGTATTGTGCTCACACTTTTTTAGGGGGCGGGGCCAACTTGATGATTTCATCTTCAGAGGGCTGGCGGATGATATCTTATTTTTCCAAAAGTAAAAGAAAAGGGAGAGAGAAAAACAAATTCTATTTTAAGATCTTAGGAGGTAAAAGGCAAAATATCACACTTTTTAACCATAAACCTAACATTATCTATATTTTACCACCAGAGGGCAGAACGTCACCACCTTTGGATGTCCAGTTCATTATTTTACTTTTTATCCCTGCTTCTAGCCAGAGATGCAGGAGAAGGAGGAGGTAACAGGTGGTTATCAAATCCTTGCTTGAGAGCTGTCATTTACTATAAATGTCAATTAGATACAATGGGTGACTCATCTATATCGTCGGACGTTGTTTTGTTGCAGCCAGAGCCTGCATTTGATTATTTTTGACAGTTAAACATCATGTCTAAGTGCAATAACAAATCTCATTTACAATGTGAGACTGATGTATTTCTGATGATTTAGATGCTAACAAGACATCTAAAAGGGTACATTGGTGAGTCCTGACTTGGACTTGGCAAGCCTAATCTCATTTCGAGTTTTGGGATGGATTATAAGAGCCGAGATGTACTTCAGGTTTTACTGAAATCAATCCATGGCTCTCAAGCAAGATGACGAAAAGGGGGGAGACAGAAATCAGACAAATTAGATATATGTCTAAAAACCAATCTAACTTTTCACAAGTTGCATCTGAGGTAAACCAACACACAAACCGAACCTCCCTGAACGGTATAGGAAGTACTACCTTTATATTTCTTGGCAGAGGGGATGCGGGTGAGCTTGGTGTCAATCTCATCATCCTCAGAGATCTTGAGCACAGTGGTGCGGTACTCTATCACCCTTGTCAGCAGGTCCGGTCGCCGTGAGATCTCAAAGATGTGCTCAATGTACGACAGGTTATCTGGATGGGAGGCACTTCGGTTCAGTTTGACAGAAAGGTCCTCATACTAATGTTCAACTAGCGTTTAGGCCAAACCATTCTGCAACTTAAGCTACGCTACGTTGTGTCTCTCACCTTGGGCGAGCTTGTCGTTCTTCTCAAGGTAGCTGAACCACTCCTTGGAGGAGGTGATGTTGTTGCTCTGGTCCTCAGGGATGTCCTCCTTGCAGGCAGATTTGAGCTGCTCCAAATCCTCGTTGGTGATGTTTTCAGACAGGTCGCTGAGCAGAGAGCTGTACTCCGCCATGGTCTGGTCAAAAGCAAAAACAACAGAAAGCGGGGCTGATTAGATGATGATGATAATAATAGAAAGGTTGCGCAGAGTTTCAAGGACATTAACAAAAATGGTTAAGAAGAAACAAAGAGCAGATTCTAATGATACCAAAGTGTTCGGTGCGCTGCAGCCCACCTACTTCCCAGACTCCATGGTTGGATAATCTTTGCTAATGACAATAGCATACCATCAGGGTGGACTGGAAACACCCCAGAACACAAAGTTGTTGTTTTTTCAGAGTTTGCTTACAGCTGTTCTTGTCACAAACAACTGAAACAGAAGATTTACTCAAGAGACAACACAGACCAGGACCTTTGACCCATTGATCTGTTCTTTGGGCATCTAAAAGATAGAAGCAGTTCATCAAGCCAACAATAATTTCTAAGGCACATTTCACAACAATCATAGCTGCCTAAAGTCTGCGATAAAATGCACTCAATAAAACGTTAAAACATAATCAAACTAAACCAACGTGGAAAACAAACTGTTGAATTGATAGTTATGTTTGTACAACGAGAGCAAAGATGTTCAGTGGTCTGAACAGCTCTAGTTTATTCATCTTTAAATACATGAAGTGCAACATTATTCTAAAACTTTGGCTCCTTCCAGTGGTTCGACTGAACTTCAGAGCTCTGATCCCCAGAAGACCATCAAATGATTTTAGAGTAAAGTCAAACTACCTTTGGACAACAAAAAAAAAAAGATTGTGATGTAGCTTCTTTTATTGTCATATCATGTAAAGATGCTGCATCACATAGATAGATACTTTATTAATCCCAGGGGGGGGAATTCGAGGCATCCAGTAGCATGTTCTTATTACAGTATACCGAAAAAAAACTCATGAAATAATGAAAAAAGAAGCAGAATACACACATTTGGAAAAAGACAATACTGTATGCGCATGCACAAGGTGATAGGGAGTACTACAATCACAATTAACCTATATATATGTACACATACATACACATCTAAGCATACCTATACATCCATACTTATACATAAGTATTAGGGGTACCGCAGAGTTACACGGCTCTTTTTACTGTACGGGGAGGAGTAGAACAGTCTGATGGCTTGAGGGACAAAGGACTTCCTGAATCTGTCCATGGAGCAGGGTTGAGTCAGCATCTACCACTGAAGGAGCTCCTCTGCTTCATGATGGTGACGTCCAGAGGATGGTCAGCATTGTCCATGATGGGTAGCAGCTTACTGAGGGACCTTCTCTCTGCCACCGATATAAGAGACTCCAGCTCTGTTCCCAGCACAGAACCAGCTTTCCTCACCAGCCTGTCAAGTTGCCCTGCATCTCTCCTCTTAATGCTGCCTCCCCAACACACAGCAGCACAGAAGACACTGGCTACCACAGACTGTAGAACATCAGCAGTCGTTTCCTGCAGATACTGAAGGACCCAAGCCTCCTAAAGGAAGTAGCGCCTGCTCTGACTCTTCCTGTAGAGAGGGTCCATGTTCACTGACCAGTCCAGCCTGCCATCCAGTTGTATGCCCAGATATTTGCAGGTCGTGACCACCTCCACATCGACAGACTGGCTTCAGGGTAGGTCCAAACCTTCTGAAGTCCACTAGCATTTCCTTTGTTTTACTCATGTTCATCTGTAGATGGTTGGATTTGCACCACACTAAAGTCCTCAACCAGGGTCCTCTGTCCATCCTGCACATACCCAATAACTGCAGCGTCACCCGAGTACTTCTGCATTAACATGTGATAGCGTTACTATAACTAAAATGCATACAATGATTTATTTTTATTTTGTTTGCACGAGTGCAGACGCCCTTTTTAAGAACGACAGACAAAATGTCCAGTCTTGGATTAAATAAATCAATAAATAAATACAATGAAGTGATTGTTACTTGAATTAACTGGTAATCTCTATTTTAAAGGCTTCAGTAAATAAACAGTTCTGTAGTCAAACTCTGATAACTCTTGAAGTCAAACAGATCGGTTTAAAGAAGCGTCACTTAAGATTACATCACTTTGAACCAATGTAAATAAAGCTGATTAATTTGTCTTTAAACTTTAAAGGTTTTTCTTCACTTTACAGCCTGGCTGTTCTTACAACAGCAACGCTTTTACGGTAAATGTTCCTTGAGACTCATCAATGTAAACTCACAGAATCACCTGGTGTGCTTTTGAATATCTGAGTCTGTTATTTCAACATTTAACCACGTGTGATCGCTTTAACTGCTCGTAGGTCCAGTTCTCTGAGTTGGACCTGGAATAGGAGCAGTTGTGGAGTCACAAGCATGACGGGGTTAGTTTGAGGGTTCCAGGTTATCCACAAACAGATGGAGTGTTTTATCTGTGTGGGTGAGTTGAAGGGAGCGTTGTGGCATCAGATGTTCAGCTCAGGAAAAAAGAAACAGTCCATCATGGCTAGAGAAACATACAGTGCGTCAGACGTGTTGTGAAGCCGTCTGCTCACTTCAGCTGTCGCTTCAGACAAACTCACCACGAGGCAAACAACAAAAACTTACAGCTCAGATTGAAGCGCGTACCTGCCTTAAAAAAACATCATGATTATTAATAGTCTGAATGTTTATGAAGCACTCACACTGTTGTGGTCCATATTACTTCTGTACTTTTTCCAGCGTGTTTCTCTTCCTGCAGTTTTGAAGCTATTTCAACAAATCCTAACTCAAAACGTTCAGCTCTTTCAGGACAATCCTGCTGTGACTTTTGGTACTGGTGCAACTTTAGCTTTTTGAAATATTTTTTCTGCCATTTTTTTCCTCAGAGAAAATGAATTGAGCTTGTTTTCCATCCTTCAAATCTTTAGATGTGTTTACAACCTTTTACTGCTACTTTAGCATTTTGTTCGGCTTCAGCGTCTTTGTGCAAATAAAAAAAATCAGCTACTTTCAGTTCATTTCAGCTGTTTTTATCAGCTGTTTTGTGCTCGTTTCAGATTCCTTCTGATAATGACGACATTTCTGTGTTTCTTCTAACTTCTTTCTGCTAATTTCAGCTTGTTATGCTCCTTTCAGCTTATTCAGCAAGTTTCAGCTTTTTTAAAAACTATTTCAGCTACTATATAGATGTTTTTTATGCTAATTTAAGCATTTTCAGCCACTTCCACATTTTTTGCACTTCTTAAAACTTTTTCAGCCTAATTCAGCAAAAATGTGCTCTCTCCACTTCCTTCTGGTAATTTCAGCTTCTTTCTGCCTTTTTAGCTACTATTCAACTGTTTATCTTTGCTAATTTCAGCTTTTCTCAGATAATTTCCAAGCGGGGGAGGGGCTGGATTTGTATTCAGTGAGGGAGGGGAGGAGGGGCCGCATGAAGGTGCAGACTGGGAAATACTGGCAGATTGTCAAATATAGTTATAACTACGTAGAGTATGAGACTATATCGCTTTATATCAACATAGGCTCATTTTATATCGCGTATGAAATTATCTTGACATTAAAAAAATATCAGCGTCAGAGTCAGTTTATTGTTGGGTCCCAGTTACATCCAACAATAAAATGTAAAAGAAAAACAATAATAAGATCTAAGATACGAACTAAGAAAAACATCAACTATTGAGGTATCACCCAGCCCTAGTTGGACATGTGAAAAGGTGCGCCGGTGCCAACGCTCAATAATTTGATGAAATGATGACACCTGGCCTGTGAGGCCACCAAACAGTTTCATTACTGGAAGGAGATTACCAGTAATAATGATGATGATGATGATGATGCACAGAAATTTTGTATTTAGTTTAAAATATCAGTTTACTACAAAAAGAATCTCTTAACTGAGTGAATTCATCATGTTTTAAAAATGATATGAGGGAGAAAACCATGGCAAATGAATGTGAGGTGCACAACATCGACATGCCTAGCGTGTGAACATCAGTACGGCATTAGCTGCAGGGTGACGTGCTCTTTATTTACCTTTCTTTTGCGACACGAGACCATAATACGATACAACAAAACATTTTGTTTACTACTTTATACTAAGTGAATATTTTTGATTGCTGTATTAGCATCTTTAGCTGTTAGTGTTTTACTATTTTTGTTCGATCTTTGTTTTTACCATTCGTGCGAGCAATTTTTCGATTAGGCAAACTAGCTATTGAACATAAATCGATTCTTTTTAAATGACTATTAGCTTAAATAACGTGTTGTTTTCTGACTAAATGATTTATATGAACATTGAAAAGTCAAAGGCCATTCTTGTTGGTCACGTCTATTTTTGAATTGGACAATATGTGTTTTTGAAAAAGTACTTTATGGTATTTTTAACGGCTGTTGGCTAAATTTGGGAACCGCAACATAAAAGCTTGTCTGCTATTGGCCGATTAGAAAAACACAGTGATGAAAGCAACATGGGCGTGTCAAGATTTTATAGACGCATGCGCGGTAGTTATTCCAACAAAGTTCAGTCAGGTCATCTGGACGGTTTCTTTTTTGTTTGTTTGTTGATGAGACGTTTCGTCCTTCATCTAAAGGACATCTTCAGTCCAAGGAGCCACAACAAACTTATTCCCCACAAGCAGCACATTCACATGGTGGATCAACCAGTTTGATGGTGATAAGATGGTTTCCAGAGTTCGCCCTCTCTCTCGTCGATTCCTCTGAGGCAGCCATAGACAAAGTGGTTCAAACCATTAAAGTTCATGCTCAATAATCCAACATGAGCATGACCTTTAATGATTTGAACCACTCTGGCTATGGCTGGGTTCTTTTTTTTTAATGAACTCAATGGTGGGCCAGACTGAAGTCATCCAGGGCCAGAAGTGGCCCACAGGCCACCAGTTGAATAGCCCTGGATTAGGGTCTGACCAGGCGTTTACCAGTTTCACCATAACCTCACATAGAGTCATTGTCCATCTGAAAGTTGCACCTCAAATCTCTGGAAGACTCAAAGTTCCCTCAAGTATTTCACATTTTGTGCCAACGGAGATAAACTCTGACGTTTCTCAGTCCCTGTCTGTTCACAACGTGGCACCAGATTTTGATCTCATCCTATGGAG